GCAGTCTAATTTTTTAATTCTCATGCAACTGCCCTGTTCCCTGAACGCCTGCCCTGCATTACTACAGCAACTCCATCAGCCAAGAGACTGTTCACCCCACAGTGTAAATCAAGGGTAGCTCCGCGGACATTAACAAGCGCATTTGAGATTTACACCTTTGTTAGGGAGTGCTGGGTTTGGATGTCTGCCACCTGGAAGAGCTGTATGAAGCAGCTCTTTTTCTTTCCCTCTTTTTTTTCTTTTCCCTTTTCTCTTTTTTCTGCTTTTCCTCTCCTTTTCTGTATCTCTTTCTTTGTCAGTATGTCTTTAATGAAAAGAAAAAACACAAAAAACAGAATGTTCCTAAGCCGGGATAGCTATCTGAGTTAGCAGTTAAAATAGCAGCAAATGCTGGGGAGCCTGGGGTTTAAATCAGGTCAATGGCTCAAGGTCAGCTGCAGTTTCTCTTTTAGGCAATTTTCTGTAGGGTTCGTCAAGTTTGTCTCCAAGTTCATCAGGGTTCCTCAAGTCTGGGCACAAAAGCGCACAACCCGTCCCTATGCCATTGTCCTGAGCGAAAATCTTGTTTCAGCTTCCACCGAAGGCAGGGAGAGGAGATAGCACTGCTTTTTGCCATGCTTCACATGTGCAAGGGAAAACCTGCAGGCAGGCAGGTATTTGATTCATCTGCAACACCACCCCCTCACCGCATCTCCATGCCAGCTGGGCTCAGTTGCCTTGAGCTGGGCTCGGCCGGCCATGCCAAGCAGCGTCGGAAGGGAGCACCTCTGCGGCCGCGTTCCCACGGTGGGAGAGCCAACCCTTTCCTCAGCTGTTTGCACAGCTCCCAGCGCTGGGGAGGAGATGGAGGGAGACTAGTGCTGGGAAAACCTTTCCAGTGAGGAGCAAATTGTCACCAACTGAATATATATAGTTTCAGGGGACAGAGGAAGACCCAAACAGCTTGATGAGTTGAGTTAAACATGGGGAATTGTCTTATCTGGGAAAAAATATTGGGAAGAAAAATGTCAACCGCTTAGTTGTGACAATCTTGTGGAAAATTACGACGGCTTTTCATTGCTGTTTTCATTTCAAAATGACCTATTTTTTTAAGTGCTAAAAAGGGGGGGGGGGGATTTACTGAGCTGCAAAAGAACTGAACTATCCTAGGCTGAACAGAACAGTAATTTGGGGAAATTTTTCTCATTTTATTCAACCCAAACCAAACTTGTTGGGACAACTGCCATTGCTGGACTTTGCTTTGTGTTGAGAGGTATGGACAGAGCATTTTTTCTGCAGCAGAGCACAAATCCATGGTGAAAGGGGGGAGGTTCAGAGAGAGGCTAATCACTGGGCAGAGCCACATGACAGCTGGTTCCGGGCAGATGTCGGTCACGTTGAGCTGCTGACTTCAGAGTACACAAATTAGGGCACCAGATCACTAGCCATAGAAAATAGATCAATTTTCCCCGGGACATGTGAAAAAAAAAAAGGTTTGTGCTGTGCTTTTTATTTGGACACGTTCACCTTCCTCTCTCATCTAAGCCACAAGGCAAAGAAATGCGTCTTCAGAAAGTCTCATGCTAGAACCATTCCAAACTCTTACGAGTAAGTCAACAGTTGCTCCAAAATCTTTCCTAGAGATATCTATTTTGTTTCATTAACCTGGGATTGTCGTTAGTGGTTTTATGAAGACAAGAGAGCATGCTTTATTCCACCTGAATCTTTTTGTGCTCTGAGACCACAATCCATAGAATGATGACAACTGTAATTTAGCTATCACCTAACTTCTTCGACTGAACATTCCCAAAATCATCTAAGATAAAAAAAAATCCATTTGGAACTTTTATTATTAAAATGTTTTAAATAACATTTAAATTGTGAAATAGGTAAAAAAAAATTTTGTTTTACATAAATCAATTTTTTTCAAATATAGTAATCCCGTTCACATATAGCTGAGAGAACAGTATTTTAATCAACTTCAACACTTCAGTGGTGAAGCAATTCAACACTTAGATGTAATATATATTTTTACAAAGTAATATCTTTTTTAAAATGATTCTTAAATGAAACTATTTATAAAATTAGTCTTTTAAAATAATTAAACTCCTTCCTCGAG